TCCCAATGAAACTGGTAACCATATCTTGACTCTGCCATTGTCCATGTCTGCAATGATGGATTTATGACTGTTTATGAAGAACCTTACTATTGTATTAATATAGGGGAATCAGTAGGTGGGGAAGGAGTCTCAGGGAGGGGAGAAGGGAAATCCCAAAACCTATGGAACTGTATCATAAAATAATAATGATAATATTAATAATAATAAATAATAAAAGGTGTACTGGGGGTTGATGTGATGCCATAGCAGGCTAATCCTCTGCTGATGTTCTTAGCTCCCCATATGGTTCATGTCCTGACTGCTCCATTTCCCATCCAGCTCTCTGCTTGTGGCCAGGGAAAGCAGTGAAGGATGGCCCAAAGCCTTTGGGCCCTGCATGCGTGTGAGAGACCCAGACGAGGCTTCTGGCTTTGGATCAGCTCCGTTCTAATTATTGCGGCTTGGGGAGTGAACCAACAGATGAAGACCTCTGCTTTTATCTCTCTTTCTCTCTGTAAAATCTACTTTTCAAGTAACAACGAATCTTTAAAAATCCAAATAGTAGATGTACTGAGGTGTAATTCACACATATAATTCATGCATTTAGAGATGTGCAGTCATCAGTTACAGCCAACTTTAGGCCATTTTTATCACCTTGAAGAGAAATCTTTCGCCATCTTATTGTCACTTTTGCATTCTCTCATCTTTCCTCATCCCAAAGTACCCACACACCTCCTTCTGTCTCAAGAGATTACTCTATCGTGTATTTTCATGTAAGTAAAGTCACGTAGTACATGAATCTTTCTGGTTGGCTTCTTGCACATAGTGAATATATTTTCAATGTTCATTCAAACTGTGGTGTGCATCAGTCCTTTGTTCCTTGTATTGTATGACTACATCATGGTTTGTATAGCCACTGAGCCTTCGTGGACCTCTAAGTTGCTTCCACTGTGGTTATCACAATGTTGCTGTGAACATTTTGGTATTTGAGTGTTTACCTGGGCATATGTGTTTATTTTTCTTCAGTTTGTGAAAGCAGTGGAGGATGGCTCAGGTCCTTGAGCCCCTGCACCCACACGATAGACCAGGAAGATTCTCCTGGCTTCCAGCTTCAGCCTGGTTTAGCTCTGGCCATTACAGACCCAGTGATGGATCAAAGATTTATCGATTTTCATTAGATTGAAGTATTTCCCCTCGGCAAACATTTGCTGTATTTTTCCCACATATTGTTTTACTTTATGCTCGTAGAAATCCCGACATCGGCTACATCACTTCTCTTCATTTAGTAAAGGCTCAGAAAAGTGAGGTCACTGGCCCAAAGTGCCTTACAGAGAAAAGGTCCAAGCAAAATTTGAACACACTCAGTCCAGATCCAAAACCAGTGAATCACTCTTTAATTTTTAAAATGCATTTTCCTCTAAGTGCTGGTAGTGTGCAATGATGAATAAGAACCCTTACAATAAAAAGAGTGGTCCATCCCTTCTCCTTCCTACCCATACAAACCAGGGTGTAAGATGGAGAAGAAACTGCAACTTGTTATGATTTTAATCTTTGTTCTTCTCTAAGGGACATAAAGTCAGAGTCGAACCCAGCCATTAGTGGGCAAAGAGCGAAGGGTTTAGAGTGATTTGGGAGTGAATTGTGATCAAGGATAGTTTTGAAAGGTTGCTGGCTCCCTCTAAAGCCCTTTAAATCTAAGATTGCTGGAGCAGCCTGCAGGGGTGAGGGCTAAGACCATAGGAATTTCTCCTGGGAATGAATAAATGTAAAAGATGAATGACTGTTGGTGGATTTCCCATCCATGCATCCATCCACCCACCCATCCATCCATCCATCCATCCATCCATCTGGTCCATTCAACCTCCATCATCTATCCAATATTCAACAAGCACATTCCCTATAGCAAGGACTGCACTGAGTGCCAAGGAAGCCATCAAGACCGGCTTCTTGTTGGCAGGGGTCAGAGTCTGCACAGAACCATGACAAAAAAAGGCAATACATGGAACAGGTCTCTGGGGCAAGATGGGAAGTAGAAACAGTGAGTTTAGAAGAGGCTCCTGGCTTCGGATCGGCATAGCATCGGCCGTTGCGCTCACTTGGGGAGTGAATCATCGGACCAAAAATAAATCTTTAAAAATGCATACATACAAATAGCTAGGGAGAAATAGAGGCCAGGAAATGAGAATGGCAATGGCAAGAGATCTCTGGCATTTTAGGGATATGGGCTTTTGGGTGCAGAACTTACTGATCCTTATTGTCAAATTGGCTCACAACAGTTGATTTAAGTTCTCAGAAGGTTTATGCCGAAATACCACCATCATCAAAAATCAAATGAAATAAGCTTACAGTTAAATAAACTCTGTTATAAACAAAGATAATCAATACATACTCAGAACAATCACTTTCCAGTCATTTTACCCCATGTAACTGAGAGTTCTGCTCTGCAAATCACTGACCCCTGTGGTGTCTGTATGGAAATCATATTCAATGCTGTGCTGGTGCATGTCTTCCCGACTCTGCGTGCGGCTGATGGAATGCCCCTCCATCTTGTCACTCTTTGGTTGTTAAGCATCGACCTGCACACCATTGAGGGTAATACACATGTATAAACAGGCAGAAATTGTAAGGGAAAGCTCAATGCATTTTCCTAAAGTGAATTTTTTTGTGACCAGCACTCAGCTAAGACAAGAAACAGCTGCACCCCAGAAGTTCCTCTCATACTGCTTGTTAGTCACTAACCACCTGCCTCTGGTCCCATACACAAACACAAGCGATGCTTGCCACCATCCTGATCGCCCCAGTGACTCGCAGGAACTCCATGTGGGGAAGGAGTTCTCCCGGCCTCTTACTCATCTTTCTGCATTATAGGATTAGCATCTGATTATTTCCTTATGTTCTACTTTAAATATTTTTAGCAGATTGATTTATTTCTTGAAAAGCTGACTGACAGAGGGAGGGAGACAGAGAAGGGGGCGGTGCGGAGAGATTTGCCATCAGCAGTTTCACTCCCCAAAGACCCACAGTAGACCAGGATAAAGCCAGGGCCCAGGAACGCCATCTGGGAATTTCCATATGGGTGACAGGAACTGTACCAGAAGCGGAGTACCCAGGGTTCGAACAAGAATCTTAGTCACGGGATGCTACTGTCTCAAGCAGTGGCTTAACTCATTGCATGACAGGGCTGCCATTTAAAATATTTTTAAATGACCCTAATACAACATTGTTGGCAGAAAAATAGACAGCCTGCACCTAGAGGACATTTCTTAAGCTAACTGCCTGTTTATATTGATTCCCCAGAACGGGCCAGAGTGGGGCAATTGAATCCCATCAGGTCTAATGCCAAACTCAAGGTTCTAGAGAGACGAGGCTTGTTTAAGACTAATCTACTACAGGGGAGTGTGGAGTCTGAGACTGGACTATACAGACTATTGTTTAAGGTCTTCATTTGTTTCTTAATTTGCCTCAATTCCTTCATAGGAGTTGGGTGCTATGCAAGTGAGTGTGTAACTCAGGGTTTCCTTTAACTCAGTCTACTATCCTTCAGCTCCAGGCTCACCTCCTCCATGCAGTCCTCCTGGTCTCTGCAGCACATCGCCCCTTTTACTCAGACTCTTTAGTGCCGTTGAAGGCCAGCACTTCACTGTAGCAAAGTGAAGGAGGCTGAGCACTCAGCCACCTGTGGAGACAGATGAAGAAGAAAAGTAAGCTTGCCCAAAGACCTCACAGATAAACAGGCAGGTCACGTAGAGACTGGCTTACATGGCGGACGTGGGAAGATGAGCCTGCTCTGAATCAAGAGAGACAAGGCGGCTTCCACAGACACTAGGTTAAAATGTCGACTAAACAGGTAGAAAGTGCCAGGAACTATGTGATAATGGTCTGAGAGCAGCCCGAGTCTAACCGCCAAGTCTTTGCCTTTGTATCTCTGTGCTTGCTTGCTCCCTGGGCAGAAACCTGCACATTTGCTCTATGTACACTTGTGACAGGAGACTGCACGGCTCAGCCTCTTGTGGGTGACCTTGGCTGCCGTCACCTGGCTCAAATAAGAGTTACTTCCTCCTTTGTAAGTGGCTTTGGGCTCCTTGGTGACCTTTTTCCGTAACACAGGGATTAAATGCCTGGTAGATAATCGCTCCTTTTTTTTCTCCCTCTCTTCCTTCCTCCTTTCTTTTCTCTGCCCAGCTTGCCCCTCAGAGGAAGAGACCAAGAAACAGGCTTGTGCAAACCCATGGAAGCTCGGGGGGGGAGGGGAAATTCCCCTTCTTACTCACCCGTGGTCCTTCTAGCTCAGTTCTCATAGAACTCTCCAGAGTCCTTGCTACGGAGGGAGTGGTGGGTGCTCCCCATGTTCCCAGGCCCAACTTAAGTCTTGCCCTCTACACCCCCACAGCACCTCACCCCATTTTCTCTGGGGGTCTTTGTTCTCCATGCCAACGTAGAGCTGGGAGTTTTAAGCCCTAGTCTTTTTCTGCCTCATGTTCCAGCTGCCTGCTGTTCCAGGCTGCACTTGGCCTTGACAAGGCAAGAAAGAAAACTCACAAGAAAAAGCCACACACTTCTGCTCACAGTTTTGTTTTTAATTAAAAAGAAAATAAGAAAACAAACATATTCCCTGGGCAGGCTGTGAGCAGACATCATAACCACACTAATTCCCTACTGAAATAAAGAAATCCCAGGAGGTGTACTCACGGACCCCCTAGGAGGATGGCCTTCCTTGAGGCCATTATTTTCTGAAACACACACCTCTCCTGGGCTATTCAGAGGAAGTGCTAATGCAACTTTGTTTCTCTTGGAAGACTCAGTCACCTCCGGCTCACCCATCCATGACACGCACACAAGGAAGCTGGGAGATTTTACAGATGGGTAATGAGTGCCAGGATTGGAAGGGAGGGGTTCAGGGGTGCACACTGCCCTTTCATTGACCCCCTGAATTCTGTTCAAGATCCCCAGGGTGCCAGGGCTAGGGCACCCCTCCATCGGGACACATGGCACCTACTAGATTCATTGTCCTGCAGGTGGACAGGAGCTGGGCTTTCAGAGCTAAGTCTGCTAGTGGCTTCTGTCCTCAAGAGGTAGCAAATGAACTGAGTGCAGGTAAGCTGGGCTGGATGGAATAAGGATGGGTGCCAGGACAAGAAGTGCCTGGCTGGTGCTGAGTCCTCATGAGCCACAAGGAGACAGTGGAGAGATTTTTTGCTATGTATCTATTCTCTGCCTTTCACTGTGACCCTCCTCAGCGGCTCAGCTAATTCCTCCACCCTGGCTTTATGAGGCCAACTTCAGATCTGCCTTTCACTACATGGTGCGGCCTGAGAAGTCACTTGATTCCCTGCAGTGTTGGTTTCCTCATCTGTGAAATGGGGAGATGGCCAGGACACTCACAGTTGGGACTGCTATGCCATGTGCTGAACGTGCAGGTGCCCTCAGCACACAGCCACCATTGCCCTCAGCGTCCTGGCACCAGGATTTCCCCACAAAGCCAGCGAGTCTGTGTGTGGCTAAGTGTAGGTTGAAACAACCTTCTGGAGAGATTGCTGGGCTCCTCTGAGTATGCTGGGTGGCATCTTGGCTGGGCGATGGTCAGGAAGCTGGTCTGGATGACCTTGTCTGCTCTTCTCCCTCCCTGGGGAGTGTCCGTTCGGTGGAGGGACTGCCCTGCCTCTAGACCTCGGTCCCTTCCCGGGGGTAGAGAACACCACTGGTGTTGATGCTGTTGTAGAAGTGAGGGGTGAACTGGTTGAGGACGGCACCTCCATAGCCGAGGGCATTGGTGGGTCCGGGGTTGCCCCACTCACCCCCGCCCCCGGGGTTGGTGGTGAGGGGGGTATAGGTGTTGAAACTCAGTGAGTTCTGCACCCCGATCTTGTCGTTGGACTCAAGATTCAGTCCTGGCGTGGCCACAGGGCGGCTCACGGGGCTGGGGCTGCCGACGTAGGCTGTCATGGTGGAGAGGAAGCTGCTGAGGCAAGGGGTGCTCGAGGGGGGCGGGGAGGGCCCCTTCTCTGGCGAGCCAGGTGCGCCCGTGGAGACACTGTCCAGCAGGTCCTGTGGCTCGGAGGTCTTGGGACTGCCGGCCAGGAGACTGCTCCCATTCTTCTCTGAGGTCAGGGAGCCTGTGCCGGAAGAAATGTCCGATTTTCTCTTCCTCTTCCTGCGGAAATTGCCATTGTCGAACATCTTCTCGCAGTTGGGGTCCAGCGTCCAGTAATTCCCTTTGCCTGATACAGAAAGCAGGAGAGGGTTAGCGGAGAGACAGACAGCGCACTGCCCGCTGGGCTCCTTCATTGTTGCCCACTGAAACCGAGGGGGGATGCAGAGACGGGCTGCAAGCACAATGGAGGAATGCTGGCAACCCCTCCCCAAGCACACCACACCCATCCTTGCTCAAGGACCCATCCCACAACGAGGCATGCTGGGAGGCACCAAGATGTATCAGGATTAACAGGAGGTCTCTGTAGGATGAAGAACTGGGGGCAGAATGCTGGCGGGGAGAGGGCGAAGCTGGGGAAGATGGAGGGCTTTTGATAGATCCTGAAAAAAAAAATCAGGTCTCCCCTGACCTTCCCAGGCATAGAGTTTGGACACCACCTTGAGGGATGGCTTTGCCTCTGCCATGGTGGGGAGGAGGAAATGGGGCAAGTCTCAGCCTTCTGCTGTGTCAAGGGGAGCCCACCAGACCCACCCCTGCTTCCCCAGGCAGCTGTGAGGTACAGAGATGGCTTGACCTGTGTTGCCCTGGGTACCACCTCTCCACCTGAGGCGAGGGTGGGAGTGGGGGCCATCTTGGGACAGCTCTTCCCAGGAGGACATACAGAGCGGGTTAACCTCACAGGCAGCAGAGGGGGAATCCTCTGAGCCATGGCCGGAGCTGCCTGCTGCAGAACAAAAATGCATTTTTAGTTTTGCATTTCAGAAATGTGTTATTCAAAAGGAATGTGTCACAACCTCTGAGGCAGGAGAGACCTCTGCCTACATTTAAGCCTCATCCTTATTCTTTAAATAGTCTGGTTATTCTGCCTGCCCCCCCACCCAGTGTCATTTTCCTTATCTGTAAAATGGGCTCAATGTGAATTACCCTAGAGGGGTGCACTGTGTTAACAGGTGTAGGGCAGGTGGTGCTAGGTGGCCATTAGCAGTGACTCAGTCAAGGTCAGATCTTCTCCCCAGCAGACTTGAGATGCCTGTGGGCTCTGTTTGCTCTAGTCTCGTGTACCAAAGCTGTTGGATGTGCTGGATGTCAGGAATGTGGGGAACCATGACAGTGAGTGCAGGTCTGAAGCACGTGTGAGGACCACGGACTTGTATGATTTCTCAGCACCTGCAGGCTAACGCTGCAGCGTCCGCACTGTCTGAAAATCTCCCCTGATTTCCAGATCTGGACATTGAGGTGGAGAGACCTAACCTGGGATGGTCACCCGTTGGTCAGCAGTACAGCCAGGACTCAAACCCTGCGACCCACATTCTCCTCTATGACTGAGATCTCCATTCTATATCAGCCATTGTAAGAACTTTCTAGAACGGGGTGTTGGAGTTGGCAAGGAATGAGCCTTGCTTGGGATCACCAACAGTTTGCTCCCAGTCCCCACACCTGCAGACTCCCTTACCTGGGTCATCCTCATCTCGTGGCACCTTCTTGAAACAATCATTGAGCGACAGGTTGTGGCGGATGGAGTTCTGCCAGCCGGCCTTGCTCTTGTTGTAGAAGGGGAAGTTGTCGGCCACATACTGGTAGATCTGGCTGAGGGTGAGGCGCTTGTCCGGCGCCCCATGGATCGCCATGGCAATGAGAGCCGAGTAGGAGTAAGGAGGCCGCACCAGCTTCATCAGCTCCTCCTGCGATGGGATGGGCAGCCAGCCCAGATCGCTGCCCCCCAGCCCAGACATGCTGGACAGCAGCTGTCTCTGCATACCATAGGCCTGAGGCAGGAAGGGGCTGGCATTGGTGCCCGGCAGGTAGGGCGATGGGGTCATGGCTGGCCCGTTGAGCCAGAGGTAGGGATTGGGGGTGGCCCCATACTCGCCACTAGCCTCGAAGGAAGAGGGACGCTGAGGGCTAGGCACACCCTGTGGATGGAAGAAATTCTCATAGTACAGGTTCATCTCCGGGGGCTCCTGGCCAATGCTGGGGAACTGGGGACTGCAGCAAGGTGGTGAGGGTGCCGGGAGGTCGAAGGAGCTCATGCTGGGGCTGGACTCTGTGGAGCCACTGCCTGGCACCTGCACTGGGGAGCCACCCCTGACAGGTGCTTAGAGGCCCTGGCCTCTCTGCTTATAGCCTCTCAGACTGGGCTGGGCAGCCACACCCAGGGGCGGCCACCTGCTCACAGATCCTGCCCAGCCTGGCCCGCCCTCTTCCAGCAGCCCATGGAGAGGGGACTTGCCTGCAGTCAACTCAGGTCCCCGCTAATGATACGGAGAGCAGCTGATGTTAACACTCACAGAGCCACCTTGCTGCTTCTCTCCACTGTCCTACCTGCCCTGTCTTTCCTTTCCTGTGCACTGTCTCTTATGCAGGGCTTTTTCTACCTTCCTTGCTTTTCTTCTCCCTTCCTCCTATCCTCTCTGGATATCTCACTGCTGTCCTCCTCTCACACTTCGCCTCTTCTCTCTCTCTCCCCTCTCTCTTTCTCACTCTCTCCCTCCACCCATCTTTCATACCACCCTCCTGCTTTCTCTTCTTTCCCACCCTGGCCCCTCATCCTCTGAACTGATTCTGCCCCCATCTGGACAGAGCTCTTTGTCAGCAGCCCCATTTTCATGTCTTTGAAATGCATGCACCTGCTGAAGCTGCCTAGAGGAGGGCAGGGTGGGAAGCTTGGCTCTGGCACAGCTTCAAAGGGGAAGCCAGTTCCAGAAGTCCTTCCCACTTGTGCCCAGCACACACACCGCACATGCAAGCACTTGCACGTATGCACATTCACACACACTCTACAAGCAGGCAGAGAGGGAGCTGTCAGACACAGGGCCTGGGGACTCACCTGGAGAAGCAGCAGGATTCCTAACCATGCCAACAGGAGCAGCATGATGAGCAGGTGAGGGGAGGGTGTGTACAGGCTCCAGCAGCGGCCCCTGGCTGCAAGCAGGAGTTCTTTGCTCCAGGGCTTCTCTCTTCATGCTGCACAGCCAGGCCACAGCCTCTCTCTGGGCTCCCCATTCTCCACTGTGGCTTTGCAGCAGCTGCACCCAGCCTTTCCTTGAGCTCCAGACCAGGCCCTGAGCTTGACAGATACATGGGATCCCCCAAAACTCCCCCTGAGTGAATCTGCAGTAGCCATGTGGCAGGGCAGATGCAAAGCCACCCTCTAGTCTGCAATTTCACGGCCCTCTTCCCCCTCCCCTGCCTGCTCTCATGGCTGCCTCCCTCTTCCCTCAGACTCTAGAGGCAGGGAGGGCCAAAGAAGGAGGTCACCTGTCCCATCCAGGTGCTTCTCAAGGGGATCTGCCATCTCTACTCACCTCTGCCACCGCATCAGGAAAACAGGTGGTGACGTGAATAACACTGCATCTGTACTGGTGTCCAGGGAGTGAGTTCCTGATACCCAGGAAGGAGGAGGCTTCTCAGGCTCTGAGGAACCACCTGTTCCCACCATGGAAGGGGCCGACTGCCAGGTGCAGTTTGAGCTAAGTGAATGTTGTACTTCCGTTCAGAAGACTAAAGCCAAGAGGTCCAATTCCTGTTTAGGTTTTTTTTTTTTTCCCTTCTTGGAGGCCTGGCTACTTTGGGGCTGGGCCCTGAGAGTTTAAACAGTCCCAAGGGAGCCTGTCAGTTCAGACCTGAGCTACAGAATTAACCTGACAATTCCTCTTCTCAAAGTCCATCTTAGAAAAGTAGCCAAAGCAAAGGCTTTGCTGTGAGACAAGGCTGTCACAGTATCACTTATAGCTGTAATCTGCTGTGACTAAGCCACATGTCCAACAGTAGAGGAATGTGTTAAACGGTGACTCATGCAAATGATATAATATTAAGCAGCCATGAAAAATAGACCTTAGAAGAATTATTAGTGATAGGAAAATTGCATTTTTGTCCTAGTGCTAGTTGGAGAAATAGGCCATGACTTTTTTCTTTCTTTTTTTTTTTTACTAAGAATGTATATATGTACACACATATTTGTAACATAGAGATAATAAATATCCAACAAGCAGCTGATATTTCTGGAGGGAGAACTGGATGTGTTATTCTGCAGTTTCTGATGTAAATGATCAGAAGAAGGTAAGCCAGGGAAGAGGGGCTTGGGAGTTTATGTGGCAGGGCTGAGAAAGATGACACCTTACATACTAGAGGTGGCATCGTCAATGTGGCGCTGGGATCTGAAAGAGACGCCTGACCATGTGAGCCTTGGTGCTGGGTATCCATGCAGACCCTGGTAAGGGCTTTGGGACCGAGGCTGGCACTGAAGCCCTGTGTCAGTTGTGCATGTTCAATGCAGTCACTGGTGTAGATCCTTTCCCATGTTGCCCATTGTGCCAAGTGCAATAAGCATCGGCCGTCTCATGTTTAGCATACGTGCACTTGAGAGGGACAGCCTGAGCCACCTATGGTGCCCCCCTGAGAGGTTGCCAGCGTCTTGGGGGCAACAGCCTGCAAGTAGGGACAGTGTGATGCCCAAGGTTACAAAGGAAAGGAGGAGGGAGGATCATTCAGAGGGGCCATCCGCTGGAAAAGGAGTGTTTGCAAAGTTTGGGGAAAGGCATGCTATGGGAATAAAACTGTGCATGCATTCTTAGATTTCCTTTTGCACCAAAAATAAACTCATATTTTTAAATTCCATCTTGTCCAGGAACCTTTGGATCTCCAAGCAGAGATGGACTCGGCCATTGGCAGAGCCTCAGTCACACACATCAGGGTTAGTTTCTAGGCACAAGCTTCTCTTTTCCTGGGAGATCGGAGACAGCACGGTGTGCAGCTGAAGCACTTCCTCCCTGCAAGTGGCCTCATGCCACAGGCCCAGGCCTTCCAGACTGGGCAAGGCTGAAGTATTGACTCCTAACGTGCTCCTGGGCCCTCCAAGGCCACCATCAACTTGGGTCATTTTGTGGACTTTAGACTTTTCTTGAAATGTTGACCAGGTTAAGCATTCAAACTTGAGAAGACCTATCTAGTCCAGTTTGGGGGTGGGGGAACACTAGAATGATAATAAACGCTTCTGGAGGGGGGCTCTGAGGGAGTCTAAGGAATGCTTGGGCAGCATTTGCATCCGTGGGCCAAGGGAGGCTGCCTTCCATTGAGAACAACCATGTGCTGAGCCCACCCTGGTGGGAGGAGGCCAAGGGGTGTAATGTGGCTTTGGAGACGCAACTCCCCTTGGCTGTTCGGTGCTTGTGTGTCCTGGCCAAGTCTCAATCTGACAAGGTTTATTTGCTCAGCTATCCAATGAGGATTCAGATGCAGTCTGTCTTGAGGATTTCAGAGCAAAAGTGATACCACACATGTAAAGTGTAGAACCCAGCCAAAGCTGCCGGCAGTGAGAATGGTGGTGACTTACTGGGGGCCGGAAGCCAGGACTCGACAGCGGAAGTAGCTCTGGGCAGCAGACCACATCACGTCTTCCTTCCAGCCAGCCTGCAACCATGGCTTTCACTTTGGGCGAAATCTTACTCTAGGGCAGGAGGCAGGGCTCAGGCAGAGTGAGAATATTTGCAGAAGTTCACGGAAAATCAGATTACAATTAATTTTGGTGCAACACACACATATATTTTTTAAATCTGTGCATTGCTTTTTCAAAGCATGCATTTTCCATCAGTGTTTTGAAGAACCCCACATGTGTGCCCAGCAGTCATCTGTAGGCACTGCCAAGCTTAGATTCCTGACTAGCTCAAGCCCTGCAGAGAGGGTGGGTGGTCCCCACCCAGATGGTGGCAGCCCAGGGCCATTTCCTAGGTCCTTGACTTTGGTGGGGAGTGGTGCTCATTGATTCAGAAGTCTCATCTCACAAGAGGGTGAAGGGACCTCTGATGTGTGTGTTCACAGTCAATGATTTTGTTCTGGGGACTAAGGGCTCAGAATCCTCACGCTAATGAAGCAGACACATGGACAATCAAGGGGAGAGGAAGGCGGTGGGCCGGGCTGGGGGGCAGGGGCCTGCTGGACTGTACGTGCAGTGCAGAAGTAAAGGGCTCAGACCCTGTCACCAAACTTCTTCCTTAGCCCCTGTGGTATCTTAGAGCAAAACCAGCAGTTCTTGGCCTCAGATTCCCTCTGTAAACAGAACCACTGACTTTGGAGCGGTGTTTCACTGGCTGAAATGCCAGGCATACAGCCCACACTCAGCGAACAGGTGTCATCAGGGGCCACAGTCATGGGAGATGCTGCTGACCCACCAGTGGGGGCTGCATTACCCCAGACTCATGGGCTTCACCTGCTTTCTTCTCAGTTCCCCTTAAACATCAGCAAGTTGCTTCATGAACTCTTTCTGCTTCCTATACTTGAAGACCTGGGGGGCTGGCATGGTGGAAACAGGCTCCGAGGGGGAGGAGAGTGCTAGGGATCCACTCACCTAGTCTGTGTCCAATTCCTTGTCTGTAAATGGGGATAAGAAATCCCAGTTCAAACTGCCGCTCTTCTCTGCGTGTCACAGGGAGCTCTTGGCAGGGACTGTTCTGTGTCTCCATGCTTGGGACTTCCGCCCTGGTGGCTGGGTAGCAGCCTGCCTTATGGTCATCTCTGCTCGGTGGCTCCTTGCCTCCGGTGAGCGTCAGGGCGAAGAAACATGTAGTAACAGCGCCCCCTGGCGGCCGTCTCTTTTGTCTTCATTTAAAAACATTTCAAATACAGAAGAGTCAATGAGTACATTTAGACTTGACAATTTCTAGCATTTTGTTATCTTTATATGTAGTTATTAAAAATGCACATAGTATTTTTGACTACATGAGTATAGATATTGATATTGCAAAAGGTGGGGTTCGCAAGATCGTAAAACGAAGACAAGTTCAGTACCTACAATATTTACTAGTATGTATATATTAAAATACGACATACACACATTTTTATATTATACCTCTATTTTAAAACAAGCTGTAGCTGGTTTTATTAAGGAAAACATCTCATGATTACTTTTCACCTGTCTGCTGTGGCATGCTTCTTAGATCAGTCCCTGGATCGACGACAGAAAGTATGTAGTGTTTTTCATATGCTTTTTCTGAGCCTATATTATCCCCACTGCAGTGATGGGCACCCACATGGCTTAGTACTCAAGACCGGGCAATGGTTGGCGCTTTGCCCTGCCGGATCATCTTCAGAGGCTGCGGGTGGCCCAGCATGTGCATCCTGCTCTTCATCACCAGCTAGAGCCTCGAGTCGATGGACTCCAGTGGCCTTTTCGTCTTCTCGGCAGCCACCATCTTCCTGCCTCAGGTGCAGGACAGGTCCCCAACCTAGCGTGGCCGACAAGATGGCGGGGGATATGCTGTATTATTCATTTCCAAAAATGAGGGAAAACGTGCCATTTGTCTTTCTGTATCTGTCTTATTTCACATAACAAAATGATCTCTGCTTTGTAAACTTTTCTGGCAAATCTCAATATTTCGCTTTTATGGCTGAGTAATATTCCATCATGCATTTTCTTTTCTTTCCTTTTCAAAAATGTGTAGGAGGGAAAGGGAGAGA